TCCAATATATCCTTGTCATAGGTATTTTGTGCGTAAATAATTTTCCCAAGTGCTCACGTGCATTTACAAACACCTATAAGAGGCACTTTTACCTATAAGAGGCACTGCTTTTTATAGTAAGAATATTCTTCCAAGCCACTTTTCTGGCTGAGCCCTTATTAAACTATAGGTGTGACAGGAACAGATATATTTTAGCTCTAATTGCAAAAAAGTATGGTCAGAAAATGAGCTTGAAGATTTAAAAAGCCAGAATGGACAGTGATAATCAGTTTTATAGGATGATAACTCCATTAAAGTTGCTGCATCTGTTCCTTCTAGACCTCTATTTTGAGAAAGGAGCCAATGTTCATGGAAGTTCCTTCCACCATTCCTTCCGCAAGTTATCAGGAGTGGAGGAAAGCAAGTGAGCTAAGAAAAGAAAGGTGTCTGCAACTCCTGCAACAATGAGCCTCACTTACAGGCTACACAAGTGAAGTAGGCTTATAGGATTACTTGACAGTTTTTCCATTTATCTTCCACATAAAGAAAAAAAAATAGTAGATTCTATTTCCTGGAAATACAGAATAATGGGGAAATGCCTAAACAATTACAATAATCCTGGAAAGCAGAGTAAGAGAACAGGTAAATTTTCAGTAATACAGAGTGAAACAAAGTACTTGTAGAAGTAGCAGGGGAAATATTGAACAAAAACATATTAAAATTGTATTAACTTGACATTTCCTTTCATTGAGCTTCATGAAATTGCTGTTAAACAGTACTGGCTCCAGTATCAGTCCCTGGGCTATGCTGTTAGTGACTGACCTCCTGTGAGCCTTCATGCTGCCAATCACCACCCAGTCAACCTGGCAGCTCAGCCTTCCACTCACCTCACTGTTCATCCATCGAGCTTGTACTTCATCATTGTGTCTATGATGACGTTCAAGGACATACTGCCGAAAGCTTTTCTAAAGTTGAAACAGTGTCCTTTGACCTTTCATCATCCACCAAGATGGCTATTTATTGTTTTAGAAGGCTATAGAGCTTGTAAAGCATCATTTCCCCTTCACACAAACATGCTGACTGCTGCCCGTCATCTACTTTTCTTACGTTTGGAAATGGCTGATAGGATTATTTGCCCCATCACTTTCCCAAGGATTATGGTGAGGATTACCAGCCAGTAGCTCCTGGATCCTCTTTCTTGTCCTTCCCGGAGAAAGGAGTCATATTTGGTGTCTTTCAGTCATCAGGAACCTCCCCCAGTTTTTAAAGCCATGAGCTTTAAAAAACTATCAGGACTGGTTGGACCATGACACCAGCCAGCTTCCTCAGCACTGGGGTTGCATCCTTCAGGTCCTATAGATGTACAGCTTATTTCAAATGCTCCCTAACCTGTTATCCCTGTATCAAGGGTAAAGCCTTAGTCCAGGCCTTCCCACTGGTCTCTGGGCCCTGCGATTCCTGAAGATCTCCTGAAGGTAAATACTGAGGCAAAAGCAGCATTGACTACCTGGCCCTTTTCCATCTCCATCACCATCATTGTCCTTGCTGATGGTTGAAGTTTACACAATCACTGAAACCTCTTTTAGGATGGGCTTTCAAGTGGGAAGAATAAATAGATAACAATAGGTTATGCAGAAGTATTCTTAACTCTGAAAACAGATAAAGAACAAAGTATGACACTACTCTTAAGAGTCCAACAATATTTAGTGTGACATTCAAATCTGTGCTGAACTTACATTATTACTAGCTTCTAAAGAGAGAACTGCTGATTTTCTAGCTCCAGAACAGATTTAAAATTGGACTTGTACACATTTTGTTTATCCTCAATTAACTGGGCAGAAAATTACATTTCAGACCCTGAAATTCCATCTTGTGAGCTTAATTTAGTCCCTGATATTCTGCTTTTCTTGTCATCCTTCTTTCACCCTGGCATCTTTGTGTAATAGTAAAACCTCTGCTGCAGATTAGACTTTTTTGCTAGAGAACAGAGCCTCAGCAGCCAATGGAAATTTAATACTTGAATGATTCTCTATAGAGGAATCAGTAACTGTCCATGATAAATCTAAACAAGTCTGATCAGAAGCACTTTATTGTGACTCACCGAACAAACTGGTGCTGAGGTTTAATGGCCTCTGTGGTAATTAAAGTTGTGTCTGGCTGGACAGACTGGTGATTCCACAATGCAGGCCCATGGATGCCATGCCTACACAAACCCCTGGGGCTGCTCTCTTGCCATGAGGCCAGGTGCCATGGAGCAACCTACCAGTGTACAGCAAAACATCATCTAAATTCTGGTAGCAAATCCAGTTCTCTCTCAATTCCTCAGCTCTTACCAACTTCTGAACTGGGTCTGAGAATTGCTAGGAGAGTTATTCAGGCAAAATGCAGAAGAAATGGAGCATCTTTGCTAGAGAGAGATTTCTCTGACTTGCATAAGAGGAACAGGAGAGGACAGGCCAGCAAGAGACTGCCTACTTCAAAGATCCTAAATGAAGTAGGAAATACAGGACAAATGAGATTACAGTGAGAAAGATGGCACTTGTGAACTGTCCCTCTCCTTACCACAACACAGATTTAAGATTAGTCTTAAAAATTATTGTGCCAGCCTTATATTGTTTGCAGCATAAATTACCCCACAAAAGGTTTACTCTGACAGCAGATAATTCACAACAAATTGAGCATACAGATAACTACAGAGATAATCTCTAACACATTCTGCAGCTAAAGCATGTTGCCATTACAGCCAACATGAAACAGTAACTACAAAGACACAGAGCAAAACTCCACAGAAAGTCACATCAATACCCTCAGGCAGTTCTAAACCAACTAAATAAATAAAAAGTCCACTACACAACAGGTCCTTGTAAGAGGAGCCACAGGATTGTGTCACACACAATATACACTGCATAACTACAGACATTTTTTTTCTTTGAAACAGAAATATCTTCCTGTAATAGATGGAAAAGATTTCTTATTTTAATAAATTTTAAGTACATCTTAAAATATTATTTAAAAAGCATGAATAGACATTTCCTGTGTCTTTGAAATCATATCTAAATATAATACTGCATTTTAGCTTTGCATAGCAGCTACACAGTAGTATATCCAGAGCAAAGGAATTTAAATTGATATCATATAGTGAAAAACTTGGCAATTTCAATTTCCCAAAAGCCGCAAATATAATAAAGAATGTCCTGAGCTACTCATGTCAGGTTCCTAATTTGAGATCCCCAAATTAGGAACCCCCAAAACTCATAAAAAACCACATTCCAAAATAACCACTCTTAATAACAATAAAGAAAATTTATATGAGCTACGTTCTTTACAAAAATCTAGGTATATGAACTCAGCACCTATCTGCTTACAGATGGTTTACCAGAAGTACCATAAGGATTTCATCCTTAAGGATATCTTTTATCATGAGAAGCAGTAAAAAAAGAAATCTTCCAACTCACTTCAGTTGTGTTTTGATTTTTCATTAAGTAGTGTTTTGTAATTAAGATGATTTCTACTTTCTACATCAATCTTCAGGCACAGCTTTCTAAGAAAGCACAGAGAAATCTGTGCTGAAATCAGGATGCAAGTGCTGTAATTGCTTCACAAGGTCTTTCAGCACAAATGAAGCCTACAAATCCTTAGACTTTTAAGTTACATTACTCTGTAATAAAATAGGATTCATTCACTTGAATACTGGAGTCTTTGCTTTCAAGAAGAGTCTTAACACCTCTAACAACTGATGTTGGCAATTTAAATCTAGGAGACAACTAAACAGTTCTTAAAACAAACAAACAATAAAACAAAACACAAAAATCCAAGTCTTAATAGCAAGAAGCCTTCCCTATCTTAACCTCACCTTCCTCTCTACCTCTCTCTCATTTCCATGTTCAAGTTACTCTCCAATAGACATAGACAACCTCATTTAAATCGTAAATATAATTTAAAGATGAGGTGGCATTTTTATCACTTGCTTACAAGAACATTTGGAAATCATTATCCTCCCTCCATAAAATGCCAGTGAACCCAAAAAGAAAACAAGTCTGACAACATACATCTGTTACATCAGACTTCATGAGAAATCCAGAGCTTTTCTCTGAATCATCAACCCATCCTTCCTAAAGAAAATGTCACTTTCATAGAAATACGCACAAACTAAAATGCTGAAGAGTTCATTTAGAAATATATATAAAAATATGTATGAGACCACAAAAATGCAAAAGGCCAGACCAAAGCAAGATGTTATCAGTAATATAATTTCTGTTAATGAAGCAGTGGCCCCTCACTCAAATCAATGGGTGGATACACAATCAGCAATGCACCAATGACAGATCTCAGCATAATGCTCAATAAAACCAGTAAGGCAGAACTAATGCCAGCTTACAGTATGAACAGCAAATAACAAAAAATGCTATCCCTCCCTTCTCCTGAATTTTCAGGCAGCAGAAGGTCTTGGTAACAGTATTAGTGGGACAAGCCAATGTTTTCAAGTCAGGCAGGAAAAAGAAAAACTTTAGGACAAGTCAGACTTGCCTTCGCTTCATTCTGCTGGGTGATACTTCTGAAATGCAGCACCAACACAGGCCAATCTCCCAAATGTCAATAGGGGTACCATAAGTGAACAGCAATTATCATATGCAGATCACAAGCATACATTATTGCCATGCAGTACAATTTATTCACAGAGGAGGTAGGGTATTCAAATCTTCACCAAATTAAAATACTGAACACAGATCATTATTACTCATTTGAATCAAGACACATGCTGTACCCATAACTTTAAGCATCCTTATTAAAAGTAATTATATTTTGGCAAGTCTTTCCCAATTAACACAGCCAGTCAAAAGTAAAAAGTAAGTCACACATACAGGCTGTCTTAGCTGCACAACTCAGGGGAGATTAAATAATTTATTCATGTCACTATTGAACAAATTTTAAGAACTTTTCATATGTGTAAATCCCTTTATTTATTTTATTATTTTTCATTAATATAATTTACAAGCAAATATGGCATCAAATAAACTTACTTATTTTAGAAAGTGACTTTGCTAGACTGTATGCTGGTTTGAACTCCAGAAATGCTTTGAGAGAGTACCTCAAGACTTCTAACTGCGACAATATTTTCACTGGAAAAAAGAAAAAAAGGCAGTGAATTTTTTAAAAAATACTAGCTATTTGGTTGTAAAATCACAGACTAGCAACCTATGTTCTGACTTTGAGTAGCTTGCTAAAGTACTGTTAACCAGTGACCTTCATTGCATTAACTCATAGCAACACCACACTGCTTTTATCAAGCAGCAATCATGTGCTGTCCCACAGAACACACAGAGCTAATTTTGGCTGGGAAGACAACATCTGAGGCACAGGCATATGGCTATGAAATGAAGGCATGCCTGGTCCTGGGAGAGGCAGAAAATCCCAAGAATTTTTCTCACCTTCCGTTCTTCAAACCTGACACATCAGTGAGCAAGTATCATTCAACAGTAATATGGACTACCTACATGACCAAGGGATGAAGGAGAAGGGAAAAAAGCCTACAAGATACTAACAGCAGTACTATAAGTAGATTTTTAATGGTACTTAGTTAAAAAAAAACATCCCTAGCTCACAATACAAATGGCTTCCAAGCAGAACTTGACCATTATATTTTTTTAGCACTTCGACCTTGTGATTTCTGTCTGATTCTGTTTTCTATAGAAAATTAACATTCCCAGCCAAAATCTCGTGTCTTTTCCATGCATAAAGAGAAAATTCAAACAATATCAGCAATCTTCTGTCAAAAAAAAGCAGGAGTAAAAACTCACCCTTCACTTCCCTAGATTAAAATAAAAAAATACAGACTAATTTTCTTCAAGCTGTTGTGCTTTTAAACATTAGTCAGCATACACATTTAATGATGTTTAGCTAATCCATTTTAATTTTATGCTGCTTGAGTTAGTTCAACCTATTTTTTCTAGGCAGCTCTATCAAGACTTGATCTCCTAAGGTCCCTTCATTGCCCACTCTGTCTTCATACAATTCTTTCTTCTCTCTTCAACAAGTGAGGGGTTTACCTCCAGGTTAAAAGAAGACACTGTTCATTTCAGCATGGTCCTGCCAGAGTGAGGTTCACTCACGGCCATGAGAGTATGTTGAACTGAGAGCATATCAGCAGATCTGTACAAACTCCACTAATTAAGGTGATGAACCTCTCTGTTGGCAATAAATGGCCCTGTAATGCTGACTATGCTCCCCTGTGCCTGTCTTTTTTTTTTTTTTTTTTTAAGGATAACCATGTAACAGTAAAAATTTAAATTTATATATAAATAGAAGTTGATATTAAGCAAGTCCTGAAGTATATGGCAGCTCTAAACATTTCACATTTAAAGAACAAGAAGAAATTAAGTGCTTTGTAAAAGAACAAAAAATTATCTCTGTGTAGTGTATCCCTTGGGCAATGCCATGGTTTCTCAGCATAGTTTCTGTCTCTTCCTTGCCATATGGGGATGAACGCAACAACCCAATGAGACCATTGGTTGGATAGTTCTGCCTAGGCATACATGAATGACTAACTTCATGATGGCAGGGCAGACAGACAACTCGCTTTTCACAGGTTTCAGCTTTCATGTTTAAAGAGAGAACTTCTAGCTATCACAGTTAAGAAAAAATTGGAAAAGAAGCCTATTGCATGCAAGACCCCTCCCTGAGTTTGCACCAAGACTGCTACAAGAGTCCCAATGGATGGACTGATGTATTCCCTTGAAGCCTGATGCATTGGTGTGTCACTATTCACTGTTGTGTGAGTAAAATTCTGTAAGTGAATAAAAGAGAAGAAAACACAAGTCCATGACTTCAACCTCAATTGCAACAACATCCTAAACTCAAGACCAGCTAATGGTGTTACAAAAGACTATGAGATACAAGGATTAGAAGGATGTGGAAGAATCAATATGAGATAGATTTAAAATACTTATTTTAATAAGTGATTAGGCTGAAGCAATGAAGTAGGAATTACCACATTCTTCAAATTCTTCACTCATCCAAAAGCCTGCAGAACAAGCCTGTTTGTTTATATTTACATTTAATATCTATCTGTCACTGGACAGGGCCTTGAGCAACCTGATAATAGTGGAACATCTCCTTGCTTACAGTAGAAAGGTGGGTGTACTACATGGATTTTAGAAGCCCTTTCCAACCCAGACCATTCCCTGATTATACTATACAGCTCTTTTTCCACTCTAACCTACATTTACAGCATGAGAGACAATGGTCTAGAGGACTTCAAGTGTACTTTGTTAACCTGTTTCCAAAAGCAAATCAAGTAAAGCTGCGCCCATGTATACTGCTGACCTACCAAATGAAAGGCTACACCCATCTTTCCATCATGCTCCATCAGTTGCTTATAGGAATCAATTTGCATTACTTTTGCGTTAAGTGCCCTTGAGTGTACAGTAACACATCTGCAGTGGATTTCATAAGCATAATGGCAGTGTTCCAGACACACAAATGGCACTGAAGTGCTCGTGCCTGACACAGCACAAAGAATGGAATACTACTGCTAATATGGTAATTTGGGAGGGTGGAAACAAAGCTGAGAGAAAGAACTGCATTAAAAAGAAAAATCACAGAATAAAGGTGAAATCTGGGTAAGCACAACAGAGTATGAGTTTTGAACACCAAACACAAGGCAAATAACATATATAATATGTTTTTTGCCTAACAAAAATATTGATGTACAGGAAAAAGCCTAAAAAGTTACAGGAGAAAAAACCCACAAATACAGAGTAATTAAGAAGCAGAAAAGGTAAGTAAAACATAAAAAGTGGCAACTGAGATAAAGATAAGATACAAAGTCAGGTAAGATACAGGGGGTCCATGCTATCCAAAATAATGTGATTTGAGAGTCACCAACAGATCACATCACCTTAGGAAGAGCCAGTTCAAGCACTGGGAAGCCCAGGTGCCTTGGGCATGTCTGAGTCACTTGAACTGAGATCTGCTAGGGCTTTTTTGCATTTTTTTAAGCTAGAGAAGTAGAATAGGAAGGAGGAAAAAAGCTTTACTTCCTGAGATGTTGAAATACTTCAGCTACCTTAACTAAGGTTCAATAGAGGATCTAAATTCCACACAAACAATGCTGCCCTGTGCTGTCTTTTAATATTGTACTCCCTTTCATCAGTGTTTCAGCTTTTGAAAAGGTACCTGTGTAAGCTTAGCTGCCACTAAGGCATATAATATTAATATTTAAATAATTGTATATTATTTATTTTAACAATTTATTATTTATTTTCACAGGTCTTCAAAGATCTATATGATTTTACTAATTCCCCCAGAAATGTGAAAACCCTGATTTTAATCTGGAAAGGGAGAAACTTAAATTTAAAGAAGTTTTGTTTCTATAAATGATTTCATTTCCTCTGATCGCTTCACAGAAATACGCTTTCAGTTTCAGCAGGGATGAGCTGATATTGATTTTTTCCCCCTAGAACCTTTTAAGTGCTCCTCGTAAAGATGACCTGATTGTTTTCCAACAAATCCTTTGTCCTCATAATAATCTGTTGCCTATTTTTAGGCACATTTAAAATTATTTAAAAACACAACACAACAAAATATTCCAGCTTGCCATTAGCTTGACTGAAATCCACTCACACCTTGTTCCTACTTCTTAACAACTAGGGAGTTAATCTAAATTATTAACTCCTGACTATTACAGGCTCCAGTTCAAACCAGGAATTTAAAGCATGCATTTGATTATTTAGTGATGTTAATTTCTGGCTACACACACAGAAAAGTCTGCTAGACTGAAGAACTCTCCAAACCATTCTCCTCCAGAAAAGCAGTGAGATACAGCATTAGAGCAGCAAGAGAGATTCTTATGCTACAGCTGTTGTCTGTATTATTTGTAAGTAGGGTTAAGCAAAATGCAGTTTAAAGCTCTGGAGAAACAACTGGCTTTCTTTAAATGCTAAGTATTAAAAAAAAACAAACCTCAAGCAAGCAACACAAAATAAAAAACATGAAGGCTGTCTTTTTGGTTCCATCATTTGAAATCTAACAATAATAATAATTTACCATAAATGGCACTTGATTAAATCTATCCATGAAAAGTGTCTTAGGTTTTGAAACAGAATAAATTCTGACTGTAATCCACTGCTGAATCCTGCAGTTACCAAAAAGGTTAAAAGATATTCACACTAACATACTATTGAAACAGTATTTCCTACCTGAAAATATAGAAGGTCTTTTCTTAGTGCGCCTTGGGTGTATAGGGTCTATATTCCTAATATTTTTTTGAAACTTTCCTTTAAAATCATTTTCTAGCAGGATGTCTGGTGGCAGGCTTCTCCGTCTTGTTGATTTATAACGAGTCTGATGGGGATTAAGTTTACTCTTAGTCCTGGAGTAGAGGCTGCTGTCATCCAGTGCCATGATGGAGCACTGAGCGCTGGAGCCAGCCCGGCGTGAACGCGCCCGCACACCCACAGGTGTCGGGAGCAGTGGTCACAGAGCGAGCAATCTCGGATGTTCTCATGCTCAACTCACCCACCCGGGAAGTTGAGCAGGTTGAGAGGCGTGTGCTGGGACAGGTGTAGTGTTACTGCATGGCCCCTCCCTGCATCAGTGAAACAGGGCAGGGAGGAGGCAGGAGGCTGAAATAATTCCTTTGAAACTTTTGAGGTAATTAGGAAGTTCAGCAAACCCGAGCGGAGCAGCACAATCTCTGCAAAGTCGAAAATAGAATTTAATATGAGGCACTGTCTAGGGCTAATATGGTTTATATTATACCCACAGCATTTCTCGGATCAGTTCATTAATAGTTCATTAACTTGGCAAGTTAAACAGGTGCTGCTTAACCTTACGAAAAGAAAACAGTGTGAGAGAAAAACAAATAAACCCAAACCCAAAAACCCAACCCACAAACAAACAAAATAACACACATAAACAATGACAAAACAACATCCAAACAAACAACCAAACTCCAGATGCCAACCTAGGGAACCTGTCAGGGAAAAGGCACTACCCAAACAATATATTTGGGTTTTTAGTCCTGTCATTTCACAAACTTACATTTTGAAAATTGATAAACAGATCAAATCACAAAGAGTTTTATGGCCACAACTATCAGTTTGGGCTTTCTTTCCTCAACGAGCAGTATGTTATTTCCTACTGAAGAAATCAAAGATGTCTTAGTGTTACTAATTTGTCTCTCTATATAACTGTCGACTAGTAAAAATAAGATATTTAAATACATGTATGACAGAGATGGTCTGTAAATTCTCCACTTAAATAAAAGTCTAGGTGCTTTTCTTGTTTTGTTCCAGGTATTCCAATGAAATCTTTTGAGCCCCTCAAGGATGTGACCTTCCTTTCTCAAATATTCAGAAAGAAGACAAATTGAAACATTTTCTATGAACCTGCTAATTTTCTTATTAAATTTTACCATAAATGAGGAAAAATGAATTAGTAGATTAAACAAATCTTATGACTACATTCATTTTGTTGTTAAAAAACAGCATTTAATATGGGAAAGTGAATAAGCAGAGTGGTAATTCAAAGGGAGAGTAAATAACGTTTCAACTGTGGATACCTAAGGAAAAGTGATTTTAACAACTGAAGATAGAACTTGATTTATTTTCTCTTTATAAAAACAATTATACCAAAAATGTTTTAATTACTTTCCTAAATACAGCCTAAACTGTAAGATTGGTGTAATGATAAAAAGGTTCCAAACAGTTTTTGTATGAACTTCATTACAACCTTCTGTAACTTTATGGCTGAAAAAAGTAAATTGTTCATCTACATGATTTTTGGAAGGGAAGAGTGGAAATTTTACACATACACACACACACACACACACACACACACACACACAGATATATAAATGATCATATATATATAAAATAAATTGACCAAATGCTTTTCAAAACAACAGAAAATGCTTAAATCTGAGAAAATAAATGTACTTGAACCAGGTGTGAAGACTGAGAAATAAAAAATGCAAGAATTAACTTTTGAGGAGCTATAAACTGAAATTTGAAGGAAGCTTTAAATAAAATTTCAGTAAGTGATCTAAGCTCCAGGCTACAAGATATTAAAACAGCTCTGAAACTTTCCTTCTTAAAAAACTCTAACACATACAAATAATTAAATACTAATTAGAAGAGTGACTTGAAAGTGAGTGTCCCATATTCTCTGCAAGTGACACAACTGCTGCACCGTACAATATTACCTTCTCCAGCCCAATGAATATTCATGCAAAGTGGAACATTTCCAACAGAAGAAATTGCTGCTGGAACACTCAAAATTGTGTAGTGGTCATACTCTTTCAGATGGGGAAAACCTGTCAAGGGTACAAATCCTTGATCCAGTCAGAGTACACCAGAATCTATGAATAGCTTAATACTGAGGAGCTTTCAAATTGCCTCTTAAAGGAGATACTCTAGAGCACATTCTTGAAAATGCATTCAGAACTGAAAAACAAATCAGGCAAAGACTTGTTCTGAAAACTGAAAATCCTGAGAAGCTAAAGCAAAGGAATATGCAGTGGTAAAACAGAAACTGAGAATTCTAGTGGTGTCTGAAAGTTGTTGAGAATGAGATGCCTAAGTGTCATATTAGTAGCTTAACTCTATTATATATCCTGTCAAAGGTTTACACAAGATCCTTCAGAAGAGATTACTACAAGAAAGTAATCACTGTGTTACATTCAGAACTGATTCATGAAAGTGCTGAAATTATGAAAAACAAATACCAAAAATCATAATTTGGCTACATTTTCAGGCTGGCAAAGGTTTATAAAGCTTCAGATTTCTCTGGTAGGTTGGGTGCAGTTCAGTACTTTCTTATGATTTTAAAAGGTCAGTATAACCATTGGATTGGTTTATCCATTACAGCTAAAGGCTAAATCAGAACATCTTACTCCTTGCCTCCAGCAAATTACCCACTTGTGGTGCCTTGCAGTTTCTATTACTAATTATTTTGACTGAAGTTAGGTAAGTAAGTACTAAAGGTAATTGATGTTTGATTTCAGTTTGTATGGTACCCTGTGATGCAGAGATACAGATTGGAAGCTACAAAATTAGCCTGATCCAGAAAAAAAATTTAAAAATTCTCACAGGGGATATTATTAGCTTTTAAAAAATAATGCAGCAGAAAATCCTGTTATATTTCATGTGCAGTAAGCCAGTTGTTATTATGACTGCATTAGAGCTCCCATTCTCCTTTTCAGCTGAGGAAATACTTGTCTTATCAACAGCAGAAGCAAGAAAAGGTTTTTCTAGAAAGTGTTCTCAGTGTGTCACCTTACACAGGCTGACTCAGAAAATCTGCATTATGGAAAAGGAAAACCAACTCTGAAAGGAGTTCCTGTCTGGTTTGGTAGTGTAACTTCTTTATCAGTGTACATGGATTATGGTCCTTCCCACCACACCACACACACACTAGAACAGAATGGTACCTCAAGGGAGGATGAGGCCTCTAAGCCATCTATGTTGGAGCAACTGCAAAGGCATGAAGGGAAAATCTGAGCTCTAATGACATTTTAAACAAACACAGTTTAATCAACCAAACTTCATCCTTCTTGACTGTGGCCTATGGATTTCCCCCCCCTTGTTGTATTAGCACCCATTTTGTGATGTTGCACAGCAAACTATGGCACAAACCTAGGTTACCTTTTGTTTATTTATTTGTAGTCATGCTGCCACAAAGGACAAAAAGATAAGAATAAGCATCTAGGACAGGGATATATGAATTGTTTCTTTTAGTAACTGAGCCAGGTTAGAAAATTTTAAGTGTTACCCCTTTAAATATTTGTAAAAATAAGGTCATAAAGGCAATGCTCAGGCTACTTAATTAATTAGAATAATTTTACAGGTGTCAGACATTAAAAGAAATTAAGTTGCTACTAATCAAGTTGAATATTCCTGGGTACCTGCTTGCTGAGGAGACTGTTAAAAAACTACACACCAATTGAGCAAACCAATCTTGTTTTTTTATTCCACATAAGCACTACCCAGGTCTCACACCCTGTACATAGCAGAACAGTCACAGACCTCAAGTTATCTATGCCATGAAATCTCTAACTTCTTTTACTTTGCATTTAAAATAGAAAAGCTAAACACAAAGGAAGAGAAAACAAGGTATCAAAAATAAGGAATGAGGAAAATATACAGCTGTTCAAATCCTCTACCTGCTGCTCACAAAAGTATTTGTTTAATTTTCTAGAATATCCTGGTTGTCTTAATCCATAGGATGTGAAAACCTGACTAGTTCCCTGCTTGAATTAACCTATTTCTTCCAGTTTAATGCTGTTAGAAGCAGAGTCTGGACTAGGTACAGCCTTAACATCCAAAAAATCTCTCTTCAGTCAAGCATCATTTTTCAGAATGAGTATAAGAGGAAAAGGTCAGCAAATTAATACTGATCATGGTCACAGTCTTAAAGAAAGCAAAGAGATCACTTTAGGTTCACAATAATTTCTACCCTGTAGCAAACACTGGCTCACAGAATTGTGCTAATAGGACTCAGTTGCCAGTTTACACCTGACCACTGAGAAGCTAAATAAAAGCATTAGCTATTCATCATATCACACACTATATTTATGGTTTTAACTTGTGGTAGATAACTTAATATTAAATTACAGTCACAGAAAAGAGGAGTAGGCTTTCAGCCCACATGATTCTTCAAATTATCAAATACTAACAGATAAAGCATGAATAAAAGAACGGAGCTTTTACAGAGTTGCTTTCTATGCTAGAATGTTGTTTTAACAGATGAATAGTTATAAGAGGTTTGGCTAAATACTTCAAATGCATTGTCCTTCAGCTGAAAGAAGATAAGCACCTTTAACTTGAAGTCATATTCTTTCCTGCTAACAACAAACAAAATAAATAAAGCTATAATCTGAAGCTAAGATACTATTAGTCTTCTACTGTTTGATCTATAACGTGCACATCGCCTATTAAAGCAGAAGGGTGATGTAAATCACAGCATTTTACAGGCAGAACAATTCATAAGCAAATGTCCATTTGTAATAATTTCACTTCACACTGATGTTCCCAGTACACGATGGCTGTTGCAGCCTTATTTTCATGAGGACTCGCAAGTCAATACTTCTCCAATGCCAGGAAACAGGCATTTTCTGGCAGGGTGGAGGGAAGAGGCACAGCACAAGCACCCAGCTAGCTGACAGGGCTCTTGGTACATGGCTTCAGAGTTCTCAGCACACAAGGCTTTGCCCAAGTGGCAGTGGCTGGACATCTTCCAAAGATCAACGGCTGAGGGTGGAACTTGCCAAAATCTGCACAACGGTAACACTTCCAATCACAAAATCATGCTTGATATTATTCCACTGCAACCTGGGACATCATGCCTATGCTCTGGGTACAGTGGTAAGAGAAAGACCTGAGGCTCTGAGGAACTTTTACTCAGTATGAGGTAGTATTAGTCCTGAATAAACATGGCAGATGGTTTTCCTCTTGCCTTTTATGTTGAAAGTGAATGCTGGGAGCAAATTATGCATATGAAGGTTACAGATTTCAGAGGCAATTTTCTATTTAAAACCAATTCTGAGTGTTCAGTATTCTACATAAAATAAATTTTGTTAGCACATATGTGTGAGATTATAACAGCATTTCAGCTTCTGTAAAAAAAAAAAAAGTGTTACAGATATAGAGGGAAAAAATCATCATGTATGGAACTTGAAAGTACTTCTTAGAGAGG